TGAATCAGAAGAGTTACCCAAAACAAAAGAACATTATGCTTCCAATTTCAAACGACTAAAGACAAGTTTGCATTAAGCATATCAAAGATACATCTAATCCTCTAATCATCAAGTTAATACAATTGATATGTCAAATCCAGAAATCACAGAGTTAGAACACAAAAGATATAATCCCCATCCCAATATACAATTTCACCAAAATGCCAAGGTTCCACACATACATACATGCATCAGTTAAATCAGAAGAGTTACCAAAACAAAATACATTATGCTTTCAGATTCAACCAACTTAAACACACAAGTTTGCAATTATCCATATCAAAGATGATAAACATCTAATCCTCTAATCATCAAACACTATTCCAGTTTCACTGTTGGCAAAAATCACATACCAAACAAAGAATAATATACACACAAAACCCAATTCTAGGGCTTTTCTGAAGTCACTGACAATGATTGAATCATCAAAATCGCATAAAACAGATTTAGTGGTAAACATAAAAAAAGCCTAACCTTCTTCGATTTCGAATTCCTCAAACTCATCGTCATCCTCGAACAAATCCATCTTCACATCTTCAGTCGTCGTCTTTGGATCTGCCGCCATTACTTCCCAGATATTTTTCCCCGCAAACAAACAGAACGAGATCGAGAAACCCTAAAAAGATTATCAACAACCGTATAAATAAGCCGATACTACCAAAAAAGCCCTAAATCAAGAAGGTAAATCGGAGAAGAAGAGATACAGATCGTAGCTTTGGTCGATTCAAAATCCAAAATTATGAAGATTGTGTGAAAGGAAGAAAACTCTAGAGTTTGGAATTTAGCGTACCGAGAGAGATTTGTAGAAAGCCGACTTCAATAGTTTGCTTGCGGTTAAGAAAAAGTAAGGAACTGAGCTGGAGAAGAATATATTTGTAGATAATCGGACCGACCGGTTCGATGTCCAGAAAGATCATATCAAACCGAACTGGTTTACTAGAGAAAGAGGGGAGAGAAAAATAATTGCCATGTTCAAACGCAATTTTTTTTTTTCTCAAAAGATATATCATTCAGATTTCTAACATTGAAATTATCTTTTATACTCAAACCACTGATTGTTGCTAGTTAAGCCGTATTATAAAAAAAGTCTGAAATTTCGAACAAGTTATATATATAGTAAGGGACAATATTATGGGGGTAGAGAAGTGAACCAATCATAAATGCAGTTCCAGTGTCCTTTCAATGGAACACGATACAAACAAAGACCAAGTTTCTCAAGCAGGAACAAAACACTTACACTGATATGCCAAACATTAAGTAAATTTGGGAGGACAAATGCAGAAAATGAAGAACACTAAAAGAATGAAAATATTTCACACAAAATTTGTTCACACAAGGCCAACATAGCAGCTCTCAATGATCCTGACTTCAACGCCTACTCGATCCCAACATTATTATACAGCAATCGGTGTATCCTGCGGAAGCAAGTTAAATCTCAGTTTTTCCAGTTTTCCGTCAAATTAGTCCGAACAATCAAATATAACTCAAAACTACTATTAGTTCTAGTGCTAAGTCGGTTTTGTTTCTTGTGTTCAGATATCAATAGTGTTAATAGTCTGTGTCCATGATTTGGAAATCATGAAATGTGGATTGGTTTGACGACTCACCTTGGAAGCCATATTTGAGACGGCCAGATTAAACTTCTCTTTCGTTTTCGAGCCAGCAATCTGACCTACTCTCGCAACTTTGCTGAAAGCGCCACTAAACCAAGCAGCTCCAGCAGTCACATACCTATTTGGAAGCAGAATCCAAAACAAAGAATATGTCAGCTAAAAAAGACATAGTAGTGATGACAATAACCAATTCATAAAGTTTCCAGACCAAAACACTTTAAAAGTGGAGTATTTGGAAATAGATAAAACAATTATGACAAACAAACAAACAAATGGGGATGCTGAATCCTGCTTTATCTATAAACAAGAGGTTTTTTTACCAAAGAATCAGAGGATAATAATTATTATACCTGCTTGATTTGACAGCTGAACCTGTGTCGTTTAACTTCTTCTCAGCTGCAAATATTGCTGCCATGGTTTTATCGGAAACCTGAAGCTTCTGATCGACTGATTTTACTTTCTCATTAACGGCAGAAATACCTACATTCAACTTCTCGGAAAGCCGAACTCTCTTATCAAAAGATGAAACTTTGGCAGAAGCATTGGCTCTTAGTTGGTGCTTTTCATCAAAAGCCTTGGCTTTATTCACTGCATCTTGTCCAAAAGCAGAACCTTTTGCCAAAACAGTAGCCACCACATCTTGCGCTTTGCTAACATATGCTCTACCATTGCCATCCGCGGTCTGCAAATCAGTGTTTATTTAACATTTACATGTTTAAGAATTCATCCCACAATTCTAACTTCATACTAGATATTCACACTTGATGAAAATAAGGACTGAAACGAACCTGGCGTATTGGTGTACTAGTCTCTGGAAGAGCCGGGAGCATCGCATTATCGACCATCCTTACTTCCTGCAAGAAGAGTGACTAAGACATCATTCAGAACACAGTTGAGGAAACAAGTTGATTCGTAAGAACACACAAACCTGCATCTCACGCCTAGGAACGTAGTCATCAGCTGGAGTTATTGTAACAATCTGGTCTACAATTGTAGCACCCTGCAAGACAAATACACCACTTTTAGAGTTATGCAAACACAGTCCCTTAAGAACTTAGTTGACCAGTTTGATACAAAAGCTACACAGTTCTCAATTGTCATACAAAAACTCTTCATACATACATAGCATAATTAGCAGCAGCTCAATGAAGATAAACAATTACATACCGATAATAAGAGAGCAATTTCTAGGGCTTTAGGATCAGTAAACGTAACAAATGCGACTCTAGAGTGGTCAGATTCTCTGCACCGTAAAAAAATCCCAAAACAAGATTAGGGCTAATTTATTTCCCAACGAAATTGAAATTAGAGAAGATACAAAGAACAAGAATTTATTGAGAAAGTTACTTGAGAATCTGAATACGCTCAATGACGCCTGAAAAAGAGAAAAACTCGTGAATCTCTCTCTCAGTGGCTAGATCTGAGACATTCTTCACTTGAACACTTCTCGTCTGCATCGAAATTAGGAAGAAGAAGAAGAAACTTGAGGTCACAAGAATCGGTAACAAGAGAAGTACAAAATCAAAGTGAGAATCATCAAACCTGCTGCATTGTCGGCTGCGAAAAGCAGAGAGAATAATTTTGTTTTTGGGTGGAAGAGAGAAGAAAGAAAGAAACGTCACTCTCTCCAGCTAATCTAAATTATTATTATCTCTGCTCGCTAA